TAATGTAAAGTACTAGGTAATCTTGTTCAGGCTTTTAACTATCCCTTATAGAACTTGGACAAACAGTGGTTACTCTGTCAGCTAGTAAATGCTCTTAGAGCAGCTGCCACTCTTTGAAGCAGAGGACAGGTTTCCAAGCTGTTCTTTGGTGAATCCCCATTGAAGCCTATGGCTGATGAAATGTTAACCAAAGAAACTGCTGGATTCCTTTCTGGAGACATCTCTGGTTTTGTGGGCCAAAAGAAACCAAGAATGCCTGAGGGGAGAAGGCGCCAAACCTGAAGGTTGCTTGGTGGAAACTGGCTCTTGACCACTGAATCATCTCCACTTACCTACTGTACTTTCTCTCTCTCTGCTAGTAAAGTAGGACTTCTACCAGAACTTTTCAGTAGAACTATTGGGTCACTATTTCAGAAATAAGGCTGAGACAGTTTACAATATTGGTTATCAGGGGAAGTTCACATCTGTGCTCTATGTGTTAACTAAGAGTAAGATTTTTGCCAGCTATATTGTCTTTACCAACATGTAAAATGTGACTGCTACATGATAAATATAAGTTTCACCTGTGAGCTTCAAGGTTAAATCTTGTTTAGTTGCTAGAAATGTTTACCTAGGTGATCAGATGGAAATCAAATGTCTGGAGACTGGTTCAATGCACGGGGTCAAATCTCTCCAGTCAATGGTTGTATCTATCTCTAAAGTGATCTTTGTAACCTGAGAAGTGCTCACTTCTAACTGACCTTTTATGACATAGTTAATGCTTCCTTCTATAGACATTCAGGTAACCAGACCAATTGTAACTTACACATATTCAATAAGAGTAAGTAAAGGGTTTGTGAGATGTTTCAGGAGATAGGAATCATGCAGCAGTTCGAGGTGGATAGGCTGGTGGGATCTTGTCTCCCTTCTCTCCAACAGGAGCATCCATCTGCTCTGGAGAGGGCTACTCAGGGACGGCTGGGTGAAGGAATCAATTAGAAAAAAGGAGGGGATGCCCAGAAAGGTAATTTCTACTGAATTCCAGGTTATTTCACAGTCAAAGTCTCTTACTCCTTTAGAGTGTGCTTCATTAGGCACTGGAAGATGTTTGATCCTTACATGTTAAAAAGAGCCATTTAAATAAAATGAAAAGTATCAACTGTGATGCTAGTTTATAACTAAAAAGATAACGTAAAAAGGAAAATGGTAAAAATGTCTTACGTTCAGATTTGGTTTTCATTAAGAAGGTCATTGTTATTTAAATTTTAAAATGTAAATGTGAGCAACAGAAAAACCAGACAGTTCAGCCCCGCCCACCATTGGTGAAAGTAAGGTTTCCCCTATTTGCCTTTCTAGTCTAGAGGGTGTGGACTTCTAAAACAGCTATAATCCAGGCCTCTACAAAGCTACATCCATTCTTAGCTGGGTTTATGCAAGCTCCTCAAGGACAATACCTTTTAAAGAAATAAATAAAAAATTTGGAACTTCCAGAGTTCATGTTCCTTAGATGACCCTGATAAGTACATTGATGTCTTTTAGAGGATTTATTCAGACTTATGAACTAGATTGGAGAGATATAATGTTAATCTTAAACCAAGCTTTGACTTCTATGAAAAGCAAGTAGCCTTATAAGCTGCTATTACATTTAGAGAGGAATATTATATTGTTATAAGAACTCAAAAGATGAACAACCAGTGAAATTTCCTGTTCCCACTGGAGCCCAACCAGTCAGAGCCCTGCTGCTAATAGCCAGGCAGAAAAATGGAAAAGATATTTTCTTTCAACTGTGTATTCTTCAAGGTCTAAGAACTAGAATCAAGTCTTCAGTTATTAAATGTTAGCTATTTATCAGGAAAAAGATAAACACCCCTCTGATTTCTTAAAATGTTTAATAGAGGGACTGGTAAAACATACTTTGTGAGATGTTAATTCAATAGACAGACAGATTACTCTTACAGATAAGTTGAAGAGCTACAAAAGATAGCTGTTGCTCCAGACAGCTCATTTGATACTTCAGTAAAAACTGTTTAAGTGTCCTATAATTGGAACTGGGAGTAAATCAGGGAGAAAAAACAAAGAGATCAAAAATGGCTGTCGTTATTGTGGCCTCAAAACAGACACCTGAAGTCTGATTCTCTTGGCTCCAAGAAGAGCTCAACAATGATGACGTTCATCTGCTACTGCTGTCAGAAGCAAAACCAGTATAAGAGGGACTGCCTCAAGAGGCCCACAAGCCATGCCCTGACTGCCAAGGCAGCCACTAAAAGTGAGACTGCACTCTGAGGCAGAGGCCCCAGAACTCAGACTCAGCTTTCCAGGTGGTCCAACAGGACTCAAGGGTGCTGGGCCTGCCTCCTCCCTCTGGCCAGACAGTCTTTACCTGTTATCTCCATGGAGGAGCCCTGAGTAATCATGACTATAGAGGAAAAAGAAATCCAGCCTATTGCTGGACATTGGCACAGGTCTCTTTGTCCTTCTCCAACCCTGACTTTCCTTCCAGTCATTGTACCTCAACAGAGACAGACTTTAAAAGGTATAATGCTTTAACTATAACTGAGATATTGCAATATATATTCAGGTTGCTTACTAATCAAATGATGCTAAAACTGATGTTTTACAAATGTAATATATATTGTTATTCATGTACAAGGACTTAAAAGGTATTTCATTGGTTTAATCTGACTAAATGATGTGTATTTCATAAGTGTATGAGTTAACCTGGTTGATTTCTGATATAATGCAGGTATTTCATGTTGATAGGAAATACATGTGTGACCTCTCTTAACTAAACCTAGAGGAGCTTATAGCAAACTGTCAGACTCCATAAATAAATGGGTCTAAGAGCTAGTGAGTTACAATTGCTAGGTTTCAAAGAAGTTTATAAATGTACCTGTTAGCTTGAATGTTCATGCTTTGATTATATACGTTCTAACCTCTCAGATAATTTGTTATTTCTAGAAGATCCAAAACCCAGGTAATCATGCAGGTAAAATCTAAAACCAAAAGGTTCTATGTTGTTCAGTGGGCCCCAGATATCTGACACAAGCTGTAGAAGTAAGAAGGGTTTACAGGAATAAATTGGTTTCAGTTGAGGTGTTTCTAGAAAGGATACAAAATAAAATTATAGATGAAAAATAAAATAGTAATACTAACATCCTATGAAAAAGAAGGCCAGTAGAAAAACAGGAAAAGTTATGCTTTCCTAGATATAGACAGAGAAGAGACAATTTAAGCAGAAATGTACAAAGCTGCTAGAGAAAAAAAAAGTGTTCATGATAAAGTCAAAGTTTCAGATTGATAAGATCATGAGTCTTTACCTCTCAGTCTAAAGGAACCCGTGTTAACTGCCAACATAAGGAAAAGCCTGTTTGATATTTGATAGAAGCTCATACAGATTTATCAATAGTTATAGAAGACACTTCCAGATCCTCACCTCCATCCAAAAAGCTAATATTTATAATCCCAAAGTTACATTATTGGAATCCCATCAAGTTGATTCCAATCTACCACTTTCAATGCAACCCACGGAAAAATAAAGACACTAAATTATATTTTCAATCATCGAGGAGTCAAGGGACTCTAAGTCCAGCCACAAAGATGGCTTTCCAAAACCAAGAGAATGACCCAGGGTCTCACCTGGTTTTTATTCAGTAGGAAAGTGACTTGAGGAGGATTGACTAAAAATTGTGGGAAGTAGGTAATCATTGTGAGCTGAGCTAGGTAGGTGGCCTACATTTACCTAAGGTCAATTGATAAACAGAAGTCCTAGCCAGCTCTGTACATAGGAAATAGGGTCAGGCTCAGTCAAAATGGAGATAGTCGCTCTTCTTTCAAGGAGAGCTGCTCCGGTGGCCCTCCACAGGTAGTTACCCAGCCACTGACCCCACATACAAACTAGAATACTCAGTGTTTTCCCTATTTATGGCAATCCATGTGCCCCAAGTAATAATAGAGTTGGTAAAATAGAACAGGCCAGTTTGTTTGAGACAATATACAATGGCCATAAAAGATAAAAGGGATTAAACCTCACATTTAAGAGATATATGCTAATAAACCTACAAAAAGTTCTAACTCATCTTTTTCATAATTATCCTATTGTGATTATTTGACTTGTTTCTTTGGCTTTGTCTCCTCCAGACTCAAAGCTATATGTCTACCCAAGAGAAAAATGCCTGTCATCTATTGAGGGCCTTTAGATAGAACCTCTGAAGAATATATGACTGCCGGTCAACAACTACAACCCATTTCAGCGTGAAGAAGCCAAAGCAGTCTTCGCCCATATTTCCCTTCACGGCAGTTCAGGTTACTTCTTCAGAGGGGGGAATATTGTAGGCAGCCGAGTTAAATAAAAATATTATAGGCAGTCAGACAGGGCCAGGCCCTCAAAGGAGATCTAGTACAGATGAGATGCCTTACAACTGTGGGAGAGGGGGATGCTCCTGCTGTGAACCAGACCTAAAGACCAAAAGGCCAAACAAATGCTAAATGAGTAGCACCTGGGATTGATATTCTAACTAGGTATCAATCACCTGCAAAGACCCAAGTGAGTCACTAGCCCAACCCTCAACAGAAAGAGACCCTATCCCGCATTCCAACCCCCAACAGAAAAAGATCCTGTCCCATACGTAATCCCATTGGTTGACCATAGTTTTGTCCCACCTCCTGCCCACCTAAGCGAGTTCCCATTCTCTC